GGTGATAGGTGTATCACATGGATGTGGAAGATGTATGGAGAGGCAGAAAGACAGTGAAAAAAAAATACATGGAAAAAAAGCAGTCACTAAATTAGACAGTGAGATATATCAAAGGACTCAAAGAAACGAAAGTGGATTGCTGGGTCAAAGAGAATTACTAGGAAGGAAGCCAAGAAGAGCTACAAAAGACCAATGGATTAAGAAGTTTGGAAGCAAGAGAATGAAAATACCCACAGTATCTAGATAGGATGCTTTTCGTATTTTTTATCATCTCATTAAAAGTAATTAATCACACATTTCACTACGATGATGAACTGGAAAAACATCTAATTATTGTTACTGTTATTGCCAATGTTTCATTTTCCCCTAAAGAACCATGAAAATGAACATGGTTAATATAAGTTCTTATTTAACAGAAAAACGCACTCAAGTTCTACAATTTGACTGGCACTATGGACTTAACTGATACACTCAGTGTCTTTGGAAGTCATCGATCCTGGGAAAGGAAGAGAGTGCAGATATGCAATAAACAGCATATGAGAGGGAGGGAGGGGGAGGGGGAGGGAGAGGGAGGGAGACAGAGACATTTAGGTGTTCTATGCTCTTCAGAATCTCCTCATCTACCAAGATGACATTAACTCTGAAACTTGTACCTCCTCAGCTGCCCCTGTCCCTAGGCCCCCTCCCTCCCTCTGATTGGAGAGGATGGAGGGTAGACATTGGTAGGTTCCTTCCAGATCCTCAATTTAAGGAGGGGGTCCAGGGCAGTTATTTCCCAGCAGGCAACATTCCTTTGGACATCATCACACTGTCATGCAAGGTATCATTCTCCCATGTGTTCTCTTCCCAATTAGATAGTGAGCTCCTTGAGGGCAGGGATTATCTTTTCAGCTTTCTTTGTATCCCCAGTACTTAACACAGTACCTGGAACATAACAGGCACTTCATAAATGTTGACTGATGACCAAAATAGAGTAACAATTGGAAAGATGGATTGAGGAAGGGGTGGGGGAGGACAGCCTTATTATTAACCATGAATGTAAGAATAATTATATGAAGTAAAATGTAATTCTGTTTGTAAGAATAATTATGCTCTAAAATTAGTTAATGGAGGGATTCTGAGGAACTTTTTTCCTCTCTAATGTAGGAAAGACAGTCACCTATCTTTGATGATTTAGGAACAGTCAGGCCTGCAGGCCAAGGAAAGAGTTACATAACTTTTGGTTCTATCTGTTTTGCCTCTGCTGAACAATGGATTTAAAAGATCACGTGCTTTGATTTCATACGTGACACCACAACTGGAAAAGATTCATGCGGCAAGGTAGAGTTGCGGGCTCGCTACAGCTGTGCTGTACAGCCAGATGGGCTTTAGAGAAGTAATATGCCCTACACAAACGTATATCATCTGCAAACAGGAACGGAAGGAAACCAGACTATCTATAAGTAGCAGTGGCAAGATATCCTCCATGGAGGTGTTGCTCCAGGTCCAGATACGAAGGGAAGACCCAGGGGCTTTATTTCTCTTCTGCTCAGGCACAGAATGAACACACTGGAGAGTAAAGACAGAGGTTCATTTGCAGCGATGAAAGGAAGAGGAAGAAGGAAAATATGAGAGGAGAAGAGAGCACAAACAAACGACATATACAGCTCCGGCAGGGGTACAGCTAGCCCTAGAAAAAAAAATCACTAAATCAGTAGTCAAAGGGTTTAGAATCGATGGAAGTTTCACTTATGGAATCCACAAGTCTGGGATGTACTACTGACTTGAAGAGCTGGAAGGCACATACTGCATTAACTGAACTGCATAAATCCCAAAAAATCAGACGCCAAAAGGGAATGATTTCTCTTGACTTTATTGTGCTCCAACCCTACAGCATCCCAAATGGACCACTCTATCCACCTATCTACTCTCTCCTCCAGAAAGCTTATCCATTCACCACAGTCAAGTGACCTAGTTCTTCTGTCCTTCTGAACATTCCTCTATCTCCTCTTTCAATTTCCAAAGCTAAAATGTAGGTGCTCCCCAAAGTTCTTCTCTCCCCTCTTTTCCAAAAAAACTCATCCATTCTCATGGTGTCAACTATGACCTCCATGGCCTGATGAATTGTGAGTCACAGGATCTGCTACTGTGCGACCTTGGACAGGTAATTTAATGCAGTACTTCTTAACTGTGGGCTGTGACCCCATATGGGTCGCTACCCACAGTTTAAGAATCGTGGAAGGGGTCCCAAATGGAAAAAAATTTAAGAAGCCCTGAATTTTAATGGCTTCAGGCCCAAGTTTTCTCATCATGTAAAATGAGGGAGGTTAGACAGTCTCTAAGTTCCCTTCTAGCCCTAAATCTCTGCCGCTAGGACTCCACGATCTTTCCAAAGACGATTCCTCTTCACCCTGTTATAGATTTCTGCTACAATGTCACCCCATCACCTCAAACTCAATATGTACAAAATCTCCACCTTCTACCTATCCCCTCAAAAATAGCCACTCCCTATGATCGCTTCCACACTTCTTGCTGGTACCCAGGCTTGAAATTTCAGAATGACTTTTTAGCCACTTGTGACTCCGAATCACACCTTTTCCTATCCCCATCTGTCATTTCCTCCATTGTACAGCTTCTTCCAGCTGCTACTCATGATCCTAGTGCAGGCCTAACCCCGAATCTCTTGGGATACTGCCACGGTATTTTGGCTCATCTCCCTGGCTGTAGTGTCTTCGCCCCAATCCATTCTATATGACACCAAAAGACAAATCTTCCTGAAACGCCATCTGGTCAAGTTGTTCTCCTATGCACACGTCTTCAGGATTTTCCAAATGTCTTCAGATCGTCAAAAGTTCTGAGGCTGACATTCAAGGACTATCCCCGCCCCCGAATCTACTCTAAACCTATATTTCTAATTGTTTGCTAGTTGTCATCCTACATAAACATTCTGCTATAGTCACACTGGTCAAATCATCACACCAATATCACATTTTAGACATTTCTAAATGTAATATACCTAACCTAAAATGCCACCGCTTACATGTTTCATATATCTGAAACCTGCTTCCCCTTTGAGGACAAATTCAAACCCCACCTCATCCATGAAGACCACCTGACGAGTCCCTCATCTACCCCATCTTTTATTCTGTTACCAGAATAATCCTTCTTATGAGCAAGTCACTTAACCATTCAGTGCTCTAGGCAACTCTTTAAGACTAAAGGTTGCAGACAAGGTACTGCTCTGCATTGATGGAGGGCACTTCCTCACCTGGGAATTCCCTCTATCAATGAAACCTTAGGCCCAATCCTATCTCTATGCACAGATCTAATCATGTCATTCTTTTCTTCAAAATTCTTCAGGGGCCTCATCTTGGGTCCCAGGTAAAGTTCAATTCCCTCTACAAGGTGGCAATGCCTTCACTCTCCTGCCCTATCTCCTACGACTCCCCTCCATGTACTCAAATAGCCAAGAAAAGCAGCCTAATCTCTGTATCCAAACCTATACTGCACACTCACCTCCATACCCTTGCTCAGGCTTTTTCCCTTATTCCTGGATTGACACCCCCCCCCCACTTCATCTAATCAATTCCTATCCATCCTGAAATTTCACCTTAAATGCAATTTCTTTCACAAAGTTTTTCTTCATGAAGTGCCTTGTTTTATAAATTACTAATGCATTTATCACAAGATACTGTGAACTAGAGCTTATCAAGTGATACTGTGAATTACAAAAGGCATTTTGTGATCTCCTTAATAGCAAGAACCACAGCATTTCTCAACCTGGCAGCCCCTGCAGGGTTTACCATAGTGCTCTGTACACAGTGGGTGTCTAATCAGTGTGGGCTATATTTTATCATAAGACTTCACTGGTCAAACTAACCCACGAGGATCCCTTCCCTGTGTGAACTTCTATGGACCTCATTCTTAATAACAATCATTGACAACTCATCATAGTCTAACTTATGTGAGGGACAAAATTGTGTGTTATAATCGCTCTATGTTTCCAGTACGTTTCTTATTTTAGGACCACTTCATCTTGGCCCACTTCCTTCCTAGGAAAGAAACAACTATTGTACTAAGAGAGATTAGCAAAGACACTCTTCTCACCATTGTGACTCTGTGGAAAACACACTGAGAACCAAGCTTGGGAAGATTCTGACTTTCCTGTTGGCACATTCAGCCAGAGGCTAATTTAAAGGGCAAACAGGTTTTAATTTGGAGATTTATTCTAAGCATAATCAAGAGCAATGCTTGTCCAAAGTCTGAAACAGAGAAGAACAGGAGGATGCTGCAAAAGGGAAAAAGAATGGGGGCCCACAGGGAAGGAATCTCACTACCACTACAAGGAGAGCTCAAAGTTAAATATTTCCAATGACACGGTATGAAATGACTGAAATCCAGGTGATATGCACAGAGACTGCTTATAGCACACAAAAAGGTCAGGAATCACTTTTCTGCTATATTTAATCCACAAAAGAATGTACTGAAGTGTAATTGTTGTTGTGTAAGTGTATCTTAACTGACGTAAGAGAAACACTGTACAAGCTCATTAAAAACTTGTTCTGTAGGTTCCCTGGCCAGAGATCTACTAAGTCATGACTCAATTTCATATTCCCAGCCAATAAGGAGGAGTGTCAGGGACCCCAGGAGACTCTCAGGGTCACACTAAAGTGGCAAGTTCCACAAAGTGACTGTACGATAGATATCGCAACCTACTGCCTCCAAGTGAACAAACCAAGAAGGGAAGACGGTGGGGAGGAGAATAGGCCATAACAAGGGCTTCCTTCCACCTGTGAAAAAACTCTCGCTACTCATTCCTTTCAGAAATAAACTTTTCCAGAAATTAAAAAATACAACTACATGTGCATAATTATTAAAAGGGCTCCTAGATACTCCCAACTCAGGATTAATTGAATATCCAATGCTGGACATCTAAACCTTTTCCCTCAACAAGGTAACAAACAATAATCCAGAAGAAGTTTCCCAAAAATGAATTAAACATTATCAATCAGTTAACTTACATGAATCAAGGACTCACTCAACATGTCTTCATTCACCTCCAGAATGATGTTTTTTATGTCTTCGTAAGACATGCGATAAGAACCAAGGAAGATGGCTAAAATAAAAGAAATTTAATAAAAATTAATCTCAATATTAAAAGCTAAACCTCCCAATGCACATTTCACTTTTCCTTTCATAGTCATCACATAATAAATAGTCACCTCTAATCATGACATGCCTAATTGTTATTAAAAACTGTTACCAGCCAAATGTGCTATCTTAGCAGCCCAAGACAAATGCTGTAGTCTCTGAGCCCAGGGTTTGCAGGTGATGTATATTTACCACAAATAAAGCCAAAGTGAGAAGGCCTCAGTTTCTAGAGTGTCTCCTGGTGGTCAAAAACATCCCCAGCTGATTGAGAGAAAATGGCCCAGTTACTTTTTTCTCAGGCATGAGATTAAAGTAAGCTACTAAGTAACCATATCATTAAGAAGCTACAATTCTTCTTCCTCTAAAAATTCAAGGTAACTGAATAGTGAATGCTCAGTGCACCCCTGCTGGGGCTCCTCCAGCGTGCTCTTGGCTACTTTCTATTTGGAGTCACCGTTTCCTCTGCAAAGCATTTATTTAACTGGACACATATCATTATGTCTTACTACAACCATCTGCAAATCCTAGGTACAAAAGGGCAACAGCTTCTAAGAATGCATTTTTAAGCTATACTCTTTCTCCTTAGTTTCCCACTGAACATGAATTGATGCCAAAAGTTCTGAGGGCCTTCCTTAGTGCCTAGACCTGTACTAGTCATGCATGTGACTTCACTTTCTGGGAAAATCAAAAACAGCTCTCGATTTTCAAGGTAATCAAAGGTAAAGTTAGATTTCAAAGGCCAATCAGAAGCATCATCAACAGAAGTATTAAAGACAAACTGCTAAACTCCTACGTGGCATGATGAATAATGGTACAAGAAAGCACGCCTCAAAAATGCTGTGGGCCCAGCCATAATATCTCCAGTACAGTCAATGGGAAAATCTAAGTGAATCTTCCCATACTGGAACTCATCTTTCTTGCATACTTGATGAAATGGACCTTGATACTGTATTTCAGTCATTATGAATAAACTTTGTTGATACATAAAAAACTCCGATACATATGCAAACCGATCCATCCAGCTGCTTGATCAAAATATATTCCACTGCACATATTTTGGCCCCAAATTGAAAACTATCTCAGATTAAACAATTTGATATGTGCATCAATAAAGACAGCATCAATTACATACTTGCTTTTGCAAATCGTGGATTGGCTGGTTATAAGTTTCAAAGATCGGCCTACATTTTGAATTTTGAACACAGAGACCTCTGTGTGCATAGAAAAAACAGAAGGTTTGGTATCTTTATGCAACAAGTGGATCTATTCCGTGGGAATAGATAATTATATATTATAATATTATAATTATATAATATAATGATCTATTCCCACACACCTCTTGGAGAGACAGAAGAGGGACAGAAGGTAAGACAGCAGAACTAAGACAAACACTGCACAGCGAAGGCAAGAAAAGCAAGTTCCCAAAGGAACCTTTCAGAATCACTTCATATGTGTAAGAATTTTATCACAAATCAGCTATGATTGCAGCTGATTTTTAATGACCTTGAATAAAGAAAACACCTTCTCCAGGGAAAGCTAGAGACTGAAATTAGCTGGAAGACAAAGACATTCAAGGAAACAAGCAAAACATAAGATTGAGCTGATAATTTCAAGTTTAAAGACGTTATGAATTTAGTTTTCTTTAAAGCATTTAGTAAAAATGGGGGAGAGGAGGAAGGGAACCCAAAAATGATTTACATACACAGATTCTGAGCCGTTTTTCCATCCAAAATTCTCAATTCTTTAACTTTCTTCTTGGGAGCAACTTTCTTTTCTTCTGGGACATCAATGTTCTTTTTAACTGAAAAAAAAAATGGAAAATACACAATCACAACATTAGAGTTAGCTATATTAACTACATTAATAAAGCTCATTCTGAAATCAATAAATGTGTTTATTTCATTAGTTCAAGGAGGAGGAGAAACAGAAAAATAAAGACCTTTTAGAGGTTTTGGTGCAAATTAAATATGAGCATTTAAGCAAAACAGAAAAGTGAAAGAGAAACAAAATCAATCGTTGCTTCTTTCCTAATGTGTAGCATTCATTATCTATGCCATTACTAACAATATCACCGTAAGCAATATGCAGTCAAATCAGACTAATTTGGATGGACAAGACGGCCAGTGCATACTCCTTCTAAAACATTCTCTAATCTATATGGTTGATTCATTCAGTATTATTATATTGAAGCAGAAACAATGACATTAACTGCTAAGAATCTGCTACTTCGATCCTGCCCGGACTACTCGCAACACTAGGGAAGACATTCCCCATGAGCACATTACTGGCATCACTGTGCATATGCGTAAGGTATCTGAAAAATCTACTTACTGTGCCTGCCTCTAGTAAAAAGGTCATTGGAGTTAAGGCGACCTGAGTTCAAATTCTACCTTTAATATTTAATAACTAGGTGATGAAAGGCAAAACCTACTTTATGAAAGTTGAAGAGCTACATAAAAAGTCACTTAGGATCGTCACTGTTCTTTGTTTCATCAGAGGAAGCAGCAAACTCGGTTTGAGCCCCAGTGGGGCTCCCCTGAACCAAGCCAAGCTTTGGCTCCCTCAGTACTTGCCCCCCTCTACCTGCTACAGAGTAAGAATTGGTGCGGTAACCCCTGAAAGGCAACGTCACAGAACTGAGAGACCAAGAGTTTGCAACAAGGAACCAAACACAAGAATATTCATTTCAAGGGGTAAATACCTTTGAATAGCCACTTGAAAATTTAGGATTCAAGGAACTCAATTGAAATACTGTATCTGAACAGAAATATTTTGGTAACGCAAGAGAAAAGGCCTCACCACCTCTGGAGAAGCCTTATCTACTTTTTATTTTTTTGAGGGGAGGGGGAGTCCAGATTTATTCTCTTTTGTTGTAAGGAATACTTCAGAAGGGAGCTCCCTCTCCCAGGAAGACCTCACCTGCTCTTTCCTCATGCTCCTCCCAGCTGACCAACCACTTCTTCTTATTCTCCATCGCACGGGTGCCAAAGTGTCTTCCTCAAGTACAGATCTGACTATATTGGTCCCCTACTCAATACACTGCAGTGGCTCCCACACATGTCCAGGGTCAAATATAAAGTCCTTAGTTTGGCCTCAAACTCACCCTGACCTCTCCTGTCTTCTTATGCTTTACTCCCCTCCATACTTTCTAGGACCCAGTTACACAGACCTACTTGCTGTTCCTCAAATATGATGCTTCATCTCCCATCTCCATGCCTTTGCATTGGCTGTCCCCCATGCCTGAAATGCTCTCCCTCTTCACCTCTCTGCCTTAGTTTTTCCCCGTTTTGTTTCAAGAGTCAGCTTGAATCCCACCTTCTGCAGGAGAGTTTTCCTGATCACTTGGTTTCCCTTAGTGCCTTCTCTCCTTGCTCACTCCCCTCTGAGATGACTTTGAATATATCTTCTATTTATCTAGGTATTTAACATGTTGTCTCCCCAGGTAGAATATGAGTTCCTTGAGGGCAAGGGATATTTTGGTTGAAGGAATGAAAACTTAGCTCAAATTTCTGAATTTACAACTGAGAATGAGAAGTCAATGGGCAAGATCCAGTGCTGAAAACAACTAAACATGTCACTGAAGCTACCGACCTTTCACAATAGCCAAGAAACATTCGATGCGGTACCCAAACTAGTGGCTACTCTTTTCTGAAACAGTGTTTGTTATGTCAAAATGCTTTCCTGGGAAATCGCCACCTCACACTTTAGAGACTTTCTCATGATTAGCACTGAGACATCACACTTTTCCCTATAGTCGTAAAACTGTGATATGTTAAAAATTTCGAGGTTCCACAGTGACTATGAATTTCTACAATCAGAATTGTTTATTCTTTCACATTTCTCTAATACAAACAAAAATAATTTTAGACTCATACCAATTTGGAAATTATGTGAAATTTTTGGATGGAAATGACCTTTTTTGTTGTCCAAACGTAGATAATATGAGAATCCACATTGACCTAACCAGAATACATCTACTCTATATGAGGACTATATTCTGACATGATGCTTCTTCATGCAAATGCAATATATGGTTTTAAGCCAACATACTGTGCTAATTTGAATATTTAAACCAGCACTGTTTTTTTTTCTTTTTTTAAATTTTTATATTAATTTATTTTTATTTATTAAACCAGCACTGTTAAAGGACAATGACAATAATGATCATACCAGGGTAAATACTTTCTATGGACAGTAACTATTACGCTAATAAGAAAGCCATCCTAAGGGTTACATCCAATGGATTTTCTGAGTCATCATTCTCTTGGGCCTCCACTCAGTCTAACACTTGATACACCCACTGCTTCTTAAGAGGATCTGCTCCTTTAGCTTCCAAGACACTATCCTCCCAGGTCTCTTCTAGTATCTTTAACATACCAATTTAGGGTGTATGTCAAATGTGACTATCTTCCCTAGCTGTCTCTATCACAAATTCTAAGACAGAATGTTCACTTCCCAAGGTTCCCATAATTTCTGGTTCAGTAACCAGGATCCACTGAGCAGAACGAGGAACATTGAGTGAAGAAGCAGAAAAGAACACTTAGGTTTAATTTCTTTTTTCCTCCCCCTCTCCTACCCCTTTTCTCTCTCTATCTCTCTCTCCCCCAGATCTGTGATTTCATTGGTGCAGAAAACCCCAACTGAGGCAACTCTCTCTATGTTGGATATCTGTAGCTTAAAGTCTTACAGCTGCCTGGTCACTAAGAGGTCACTAAGAGAACCAAAATTCATTCAAAGTAGGATAAGGCTGCAAGTATTGGGGCTCTAAGGAGTCAGGCTATATCCTACACTCTATGTCCCGACATATGCTGCTCCTAAGGCTTGATATAGAGGAAAGATTCATAACCAGCAGAGGTGTACAAAAGTGCAGCTGGCTACCTCCAAGAGTAGGGTCCCCCCCTCCATTAGGACTCTATAAGGAGAGAGTGAAAGGCAATTTGGTGAGTAGATAATAGAGGGATTCTTGAGGACTACAGGGAATGTCCCTTCCAGCTCTTAGATTCTGTAATTTGCCTTTTGGAAAGTCACTCAGTGTCATGGAGCATTTCTGGTCATTAGACCAGACCAGCAGTTCCCAAACTTTTGGGTCTCAGGACCTCTTTACAGTCTCAAAAATGATTGAGGGCCTCAAAGAGCTTTCATCAATATCTCCTATATTAGAAACCAAAACATCTTAGTATTATTATGACAACACTTTGAAAATCTCTGGGCTAGGTGATGAGGTGATTATGAGGTCCCTTCCAAAACTAAATATATGATCTTGTAATCAAATGTGTAGGTAGCCCATTAAGTCAATCCATGTCACATACAAATTTCATTAATGAAATCAACTGGTATATTGAAAATCCATACTATTATGACTTAAAACTGATGTCCTATTCTTTCAAATATTTTTTATTTGTCCGTCATTCAGACAATAAGCATTTATTAAGCTTTTACTATGTGCCAGAAACTGTGCTACCCTATGGGGATACAATCAAAGGCCAAAACAGTCCCTGCTTGGGGAGGGAGGGGGAGAAAAATTTAAAACTCAAAAGCTTATGGAAGTGATTGTTGATAAATCAAAATGAATTAATTAAAAAAACAAAAAAATAAAAATAAAAAAACAGTCCCTGCTCCCAAGGAATCTCATTCTAATGGGGGAGACAGCAAGTCAAAAATTTGGTATGTTCTGGCACCAAGTTGACTGAAGGAAATCTCAGAAGTAAAAACACCAGCAGCTGGGGGAGACAATTAGTATTATTCATGAATACAGCTTATAAAGTAACTGAAAATACTGACCATTATTTTGCAACAATATATAACTGAATTCTTATATTTTTCTACTCAGATGATTCTCTTTACATTATGAGAAATAGTCATTAAAAAGCTGAGAGTCTGGTATACCTGTGAAATATCAATTGTCTATAGATATAGAAGTATGTATGTATGTATGTATATGTGTATACACATCCCCCCACTTCCATATCTTCATGACATAATGGATGCCTGTGAAAAAGAAAAGACCATCCACTTTTCCCTCATGTACTGAAAATAGTGATCAGCTGAAAGTAGAGATTCTCATGCATGTACAACCTATTACATTATAAAAGCATGAGGTATACACGTACATACTCCAATCACCAAATGTCTGCCTGTGTCATCAGGGATATTCAAAAAACAAACAATTTGTGAAATGTATACTGCCCCCGAACTTTTAGATTAGGAATAGACCTTAGAGGGCCATTTAATCTAAGCCACCCTGAAGAAAAATCTTCTCTACAACCTATCTGGCAACAGAACCTTCAGCCTTTGCTTCCAGATCTCCAGTGAGAGGGAACAGGCTGTGCCCCAAGACCCCCCTTTTCTACTTTCAGGTGCTTCTAATTCTTAGGAAGTGAAGCGGCTCAGTAGAGAGAGTGCTGGGCCTGGAACCAGGAAGACCTGACTTCAGACACTCACTAACTGTGTGACCCTAGGAAAGTCACTTAACCCTGTTGGCCTCAGTTTCCTCAACTGTAAAATGAGCTGGAGAAGGAAATGGCAAACCACTCCAGTATCTCTGCCAAGAAAACCCCGCACGGGGTCATGAAGACTCAGAGGCGACTGAGCCACAACAATTCTTAGGAAGTTTTCCTCTAATCCTAAATTTGCCTCTTAGCAACTCTAATACATTGCTCCTAGCTTTGTCCGCAAAAGGGCCTGAGAAGGACAAATCTAATCTTCCTTCCACATCAAAGCCCTTCAAATACCTGAAAATGTCCATCATCCCCCACCCCACCCCCTCTCATCTGTTCTCTTCTCCCGGCAGAGAGGGACACT